ACACACACACACACACACACACAGTGTACACAGTTGTATAGACACTCTGGTCACTCATCAACCAGTTCACTCAGAACCACGGTGTGGACGACAGGAGCTCACAGGTATAGACTCATTCAGGCAAATGCTCTGAATTAATAAATATGTCCCAGAGAAGACAACAAACAATCATGGACTCAAAACCCTGAAGTCTTCAACCACAGAGGTTAATGGGTTTTAATCCTGAGTTAGAATATGATGAGCTTGTTTTAAATTACATCCCTCCTCGAAAAACAAATGCAGAATCATTAACAGTTGATCACCAGGCCTTGGTAACTGATTACATCGGTGTGTCTCTTTCTTATTATGAAGCTTCACTTTTCAAACCGAGCTTCAAGATTCATTTTACCAAGAGTCACGATCTCACAACTAATCAGTAAATGAACTCATCGTGTTTCAGGTGGCGCTGCTGCGAGCTCATGCCGGAGAACATCTCCTGCTCGGTGCTGCAAAGAGGTCCATGCTATACAAAGATATCCTCCTATTAGGTAAAACCTGACACCTGCACGAATATTTCACCAAACCTCACATTCTCAAAATGCATTCCCCATTTCTGCAGACGCCTCATCCACGAGGAAACTCTAATCTGGTGTTTTCAATTCTCCTGCAGGAAATGACCACATCGTTCCCAGAAACTGTCCGGAGCTGGAGGTGGGCAGGGTATCAGTGAGGATCCTGGACGAGCTCGTGCTTCCGTTCCAGGAGCTCCAGATAGACGACAACGAGTACGCCTGCTTGAAGGCCATAGTTTTCTTTGACCCAGGTACGAGTCCTCGTGAATCTTTTGGATTGTGAAAGATTCTCTTCAGGCCAAACAAAATATCCACACACTGTACACGGATGAAAAGTTACAACTCATTAACAGACTCGCTCTTGTAAACACCCAGGCTTTTATTTGCCAACAGATGCCAAAGGTCTGAGTGACCCTGGAAAAATCAAGCGGATGCGATACCAGGTCCAGGTTAGCCTGGAGGACTACATCAACGACCGGCAGTACGACTCCCGAGGCCGCTTCGGGGAGCTGCTCCTGCTGCTGCCGACACTACAGAGCATCACCTGGCAAATGATCGAACAGATCCAGTTTGTCAAACTCTTCGGCATGGCCAAGATCGACAACCTGCTGCAAGAGATGCTCCTCGGAGGTGGGGGCGCTTTCAGATCATTTGCAACTGACATGATTTTTAAAAGAATCAAGGAGTATTGGAGACAGAGAGGGGGGGGAGCATGGAAGTTAGCACAGCAAGAAGGTTCCAGGATCAGATCCCTGTTGGGCTGGAGGCTTTCTATGTGTAGACGATAGGTGGACGGACTCAGCGTTGCATCCTTTGTGCAGTCAGATGTGCTTTTTGTCTGACAGTATATTTGTGTGTTTCGTCTCTCAGGCTCTGCCAGTGAAGCTCCACATGCACCTCACTGTCTGCACCCTCATCTGGTCCAAGAGCACCTCAGCAGCAACGTCATAGTGACCGGCAACATACCGACGCCCATCCACAATGGTCAAATCTGTAAGTGCACAAGACAAATTGGCACAAATGTCACCTTCACCTTCAAGTTCAGTTTCTAATTTCTGGTCCCAGTGCTCCATGTGCAGTCTGGTCAGGAACCTGGGATGGAAAACAGGCTCGGCTGAATAATCCTCTAAGTTCTTCATGCAAACTAATCTGGCTTATTTAGTCAAAGAGAACTTCTGTTATTCTTTCTTAGCATGTTTAATGCTCTGAGAAATTTCACAAAAGTGCTTATTCCTTATCTCAAAACAATCTTTTTGTCCCTCAGGACATGTTATACCGCAGAACGATAAATATACACCTGCTTATGTTGCACTTTCTCTTTCTCACTTGCTCCTGTTTCTCTGTGTTCCACTTTCCAGCCACTCCTGAAACCCCGATCCCGTCTCCGCCTACTGCCTCCAGCTCAGAACATTATAAAATGGCTCAGGGGGTCATAGCCACTGCGCCGAAGCAGCCAACCTCAATCCCTCAGCCCACCATTACAAAACAAGAGGCCATCTAACAACCCTCTGAATTCTTATCCCACCAGTTTTTATATTGTGTTAGATCATTAAATGTAAGTTTATACACAATCAGCATCGAAGCTGTTAACTTGACTGAAACAATGAGGTAGCTACACAAACAGAATGTAATTGCAATTATGTCCCTTGCAGATTATGAGTCTTCAGGGATCTATTTGTTCTCACATGCAGGTGCCGAGGAGCTGCACTGACAGCCACACAAAACCATCAGCATTGAAACCGTCGGTCTGTGAGATCGACACTTAGAGACACACGATGTTGTACATAGAGTTTGTTCTTGGGTGACATCACATCATTTAGCATGGCCTCAGTGTGCAGAAAGGATTTTGTTAGGCGTGGTGATGCGATCACGTCACTACTTTAAGAATGTTACAACTGGCCTTACACTGGCATGTATTTAGTGTTGCACAGTATTTTTATTTTATGTTCGTTGGTGGTAAAATGTTTTCACACGTGAGCTCAGAAAGCGTAACGTGCTGGTCTCTTAAAGATTCTGTGACAAGGCTAAAATGTACGTGGTTGGTTTTATACGCCAGAAAATGCATATTTACAAAAGTAAAACATGTTGAAATTCTCTGTGGTGCCACTTTGTGAAAGTCACACACAGACACACTGAGGACGTTTCCCAATGATGTGTTGTATTGGTTTTTAAAATATATATTATATTTTTTGTTTAGTACTTTGTCATGGTTTAACTGATGGAAATAATTGTGCCTTGTAACCTGTACTGCCTTTTAAAAACAGGCAATGTTTCGCCTTACAATGTGAACATGAAATAATAAATCTCAAGATCTATTTTTACATTTTCTGCCGACCATGTTTTATACCACTGAATAATCATGGGGAAGACTTTACCGAAGAATGAACGGGGGTTGTTTTTATAACTAAAATGTGTCTTTAGACCCATTAAAACAAATTTAAATTCACCAGATCCAGAATTTTTATTAGCACATATATATTTAAATATATGTTCCCTTGATTCCTGATATTTTTCCTCAAGATCCATGAGATATTCTCTGAGAAATGCTGAAAAACATTCTATCCAACATTGATAAAGAAAGTGAAAACAAGTTCCAGGGTTTGTCCCTCGTCTTGATCAACACCATTTAAAGGTTTCATGGAAATCTGTCCAGTAGTGTTTGTGTAATCTTAAAATTAAAATGTTTTAATCCTTTAGGTAAAAATGTCAAAAAGATCAATTTAAAACATTTTATGGTTCCAGCTTCTAAAATGTGAAAAGTTGACTTTCCCCTTTTTAAAAAAAAAAATATATAAATTTGAGTAAACTGCAAACAAACAAACAGCCCGGGGTGAAAACATAACCTCCTTGGTGGAGGTAACTGCAGAATAGAAGATATATTCGACATTCTGGAGGAAAAATCACAGCTCCAACGTGGCAGTGCTGCTTGTTCACTGATAAGCAACATGATAAACTGCCATAAATCACTGTACGCAGCTCTGACTCAACTCTGAGAGGACTTAAGACAATCTGGGAGATATATTTTACAATCCCTATTATGTTGGCTTATTACTTTTGAGCAACATTACAAGTTAGCTGATGCCAACAAGCTGCATTTAGACATAACTGAAGGCCATATACATGAAGGTCACACCTACATGTATCCAAATATATCCAGTATCTTCCCTCAACACCATCACACACTAATACGAAGTTATTACTTTGACGTGTTTTAAAACCTTTTCAGATTTGTGAACATACCTGACGGGCACCTTAACACCACATGTGGCCTGAGGGGATCGAGCTGCAGACTGTGGCTGAGCAGACAAACGCTGCCATCAACTGGTTTCAAGTGTAACTGACGCATCTGGTCTCTGCAGGAAAGTGTGATGAATTAATTTGGGCAGTTTAAGTGCGGATAAACATGTATGCAGGTATTCACATGTTACAGTAACCCAGTGGTGGAAGTACTTTCATTTTCTGCTGCTTTGCACTTATGAATGTCCTGTAAAACGTCCTGCAGCTAAATTCAGAAGAGACTGAAGTCATCATCTTGACCACATAGCAGGCGAACTACAACTGGCAAACAGAATTAAATCCACAGTCAGAAACCGTGTGTGCTCGTTGCACGAGGCAGAAACTGGCACTGGATGTTCTGGGATGTTTTGGAGGATGTAGGATGTAAACGTTGTGGAGGGCTGCATGTGAGGCGAGTGGAGCGCATGAGGCCAGACGGACAGAACTGTGTGACCTCACTGCAATGGACAGGAGGAGGTTATGTAATAAATAAACAGCAGCCACCACTAAAATCCTCCTGCAGCAGAATGCCAGCAGCGAAGAGAAGAGCTTTCTACAGTGTGCAGGACGTTGTTGATGCTTTACAACTTGTATAGGTGACATTTACATTTATGTCTTCAGCCTGAATGTCCTCTGTTGTCCTCAATTGAATTATGGACACTTGGATGACGCCACAGGAATATGGAGGCATTTTTTTTCCTGTTGTTTTTTTTTCTGTTTGAACAATTGGTCTCCATTTACTTCGACTGTAATGGATGTGGGTGCAGCCCCGTTCATCCCTGAAGTGTTTCGCGGACTCGAACACTTCACCCGCCCCTCCACCGGCACAGTGGAGAGCGGTTCATGAGTGAATCTGGGCGAATTATACCTCATAAGTTTTTTTTTTTAATTCGACTATGCGACGTGTCGTGTTGGAGAATTCTCCCAGCGGCACCTGAAGGCAGCACGGTCGCCAAAACAGCGGAAGCACACGAATGCGTCACGGCGTCACATGATCCGGGTGGACCAATGAGAGATGTCCGTTTCTGAAAACCCGGAAACAGGCTTCCCCCCCTCTGGCGGCTTGTTGTGTTGACGCTGCGGATTCTGCGGCTGTTTGTTGTTTTCTGACGCGTCTCTGTCGTTTATCAATGGAAAGTGAGAAAACGCGTCTGTGTCCGTGATCAGAGCTTCATGTCCACCGCTTCTCCAGGTTCGTTCCAGTCACTGTGGTCGAACTGTGCTGAGGTCAGACTGTGACTCACTGTCAACACTGTGTCTGTCCAACATTCAGCTGCTCTCACACTGGACTCACTTTTTATTCTTCCACGTAATATATATATATAGATGTTTACAAATGTGATATTACTACATTTACTCGTGCAGACAGAGTATTTCTACACGGTGCTGTTGGTTGATAAGTTGAGTTAACAGCTTGTCCTTTGAGAGACAGTATACAAATGTTAAGTTATTAACGTGTCCAACATTTGACAAACTAGTTTCTGGGCCGTAACCCAAGCTTTTGTGTTTGTACACTCAGGTGTCTCTTTTCTGTGTGTTGCAGCTTCTCCCAGTCCGTCCATGGCTGATCAGCATGAGTCCATCGATCTCATGTCTCCCCCGGTGGACCCATCCGCAGCCGCAGGACACAGCTGGTTCCCTGGACCCCCTCCGCCCATCTACTCCTGCACCCTGACCCCTGAGCTGGTGGCCAAGGCACGGGAGGAGCTACAGGAGAAACCAGAGTGGCGTCTCCGGGATGTGCAGGCACTGAGAGACATGATACTGAAGGTTCTGCTCTGTACTTTTATTCGTAATAACATAAACAGTCTCATTACAGAATAACTGTACCTTTAGATATGAGTAACATTTCAAATAGGACAGGGGACTTTGTCCCAGTCCCCAAAATCTGTCCGGTAATGAAAGTTGGCACCGATTTCCGGTGATGAACATTAACTTAGTACATTTACTCAAGTACTGTATAGTTTCATATCTTCAGGAGTTTTATACCAAAACCGATACACAAACAGCAGAAGTTCACTCACATCTCAACGACAAGGGACACTTTTATTAGACCAGTAATGTGCGTATGTTGGCCGGTAAAGAAAAATGAACCTGGAAAAACACATCACAGGTTTGTCTTTATTCAGTGAGTGCTTTCTTCCTCCACCTGACTCTGCAGGAACAGCCAAATCTCAGGACGAGGCTGGACGACTCCTTCCTCCTACGATTCCTGCGGGCCAGGAAGTTCGACTATGACCGTGCGCTGCAGCTGCTGCTCAATTACCACTCAGGTCGTAAAGCCTGGCCAGAGGTGTTCCAGGATCTGAAGCCATCCACAGTGAAGCACGTCCTGGACCTGGGCTTTCTAACGGTCCTGCCCCGGCCGGAACCCAACGGACGATACATCCTTTGTCTCCGGCCAGGTCTGCTTCATCCTCATCTGTCAATTCAGCACATTGGCAACAACTTCACCCTCTATAATTACTATCATTCATTTAGCTGTCACGTGACACGTTAGAGCTTAAACTCTGTGTTTTTATTATAAATCGCTCTTTGCCACTTACTGACAGTACTTCCAGTACGTGCGTTACTCAGGATCTACAATCACTCAGCTCACTCGTCTTTTGCAGGAAAGTGGAAACCAAACGATTATCCATTTGTTGACAACGTGAGGGCCATTTATCTGACGCTGGAGAAGCTGATCCAGCCCGAGGAGACGCAGGTGAACGGTATTGTCATCTTGGCCGACTACACTGGTGTGGGCATGTCGCAGGCGTCCAATCCAGGCCCATTCCTCGCCAAAAAGGTTGTGAGCATCCTCCAGGTAAGAACCTGTGATGATAGGTGATGAGCACATGGTTGCAGCAGTTTCTCAAAATGTTATTTCATTTTGTTACCACATCAGTAAATATGACACACAGGCTCTCGAGCACTGCCTGTTGACTGACTGCAGTGGGTCATATTTACATAAGCACACAAATCACACATGAGACGTGTGACAGCACCAGATGTGCCTGTTCTCAACGCAGCTTCTCTTCTCATTCACAGGATGGATTTCCAATCAGGATCAAGGCCGTTAACATCATTAACGAGCCGAGGATTTTCAAAGGCATCTTCGCTATAATTAAACCGTTTCTGAAGGAGAAGATGGCAGAGAGGGTAACTGTCGTCCTTGAGTTTTCTCTGGCTCCTGTTTTTGAATTGTTGGCTTCACTTCTATCTGCAGCTTGTGCTCCGAAATCATTTTCATCTGTGAAAAATGGAAGGTGTCATTACCTTTTAACTTGATGTGGTAAATAACCATACAGTCGCATGTTTTCACAATCAACTCACATGCAGCCGCTCTGGATAATTCACCATGAGAGCAGCTGAAGGGTCATTTTTCTGGCCAGTTGGTGAAAGTGATTCCAATTTTCAACTTCCACAAGCTCTTGATGAAAATATGTGCTCCACTTCTGTCACAAGCTGTCTGGTGCCGGACAGATAATTTAATGTGAGTGCACCAAAAGCAAATGTGGGAGAGAAGGAGCTTTGAGGAACTGTAGGCACGGGTGTTCATTATCTCCGCCGAGGAGGTTTTGTTTTTGTCTGTTTATTCGTCAGCATTAAAAAATGACTCAGCTGATTTCCATTACATTTTTTTTTAATTCCAGCCACTTACGTTAATGAAGCTGGTGTCTTTGCTGTCTTCTCTCCGACAGTACATCCTCCACGGCTCAGACCTGCGCTCTCTGCACCGGAACATCCCCCGCTCGGTTCTGCCGGAGGAGTACGGCGGCACCGCGGGCCAGCTGGACATGTGCGCGTGGTCCAGGCTGCTGCTGGACTGTGAGGAGGAGTTCATAGTGGAGTTTTGTCAGCCAGATCCACTAGAGGGTGTGGTGCTCCCAGACTCCATGTTATTTGAAGGCGAGCAGAGCAGCGGGCAGGACGACGACACCTTCAGGGGGCTGCGCTCGCAACTCTACTACTGCTACTGATGCACGCTGCAGCTGTGTAGGCTCCCGTCACTGAGAGGACAGTTTATGTTTCGTTTGAAACATATTGACAGGGCAATATTCCACA